TCTGTCTCAGCTTAACCCAGGACAAAGATGAATACTTTTTAAGTTCAATGGACCCAGAAAATTGTCTTTTGCTACAGTACAGCCTGAAATAAGCCATAATATTATGCAAAGGCATAAGCCTTTGCAAATAATTTTCCAAGTTGTTACCAAATATACTCATCTTTATAGTGGGTTTTAATTCAGTTTTTTCCTGTATTTTCAGTCTCTTGCAAAAGAAGCAATAAACTGTCAAGTTCCATACTTGCTGTCATTTGTCTAGGTAATCTTTTTTCAGGGAGGTATGCTGTATTATAAGTGTAGTATTGAGAGGGAAATAAAAGAATGAATTTAATTTGTAAATGGGAGCCTTGCAGTGTAGTGATTGAACCATACAGGATTTCATACCATGTCTTGTGAAAGTCCACAATTCACTAATTTCCTAATATTTTCATGTAGTGACACAAACGAAGTTGATGTTCCTTTGAATACTAGAGTGGGAACAAAACGTTACATGGCTCCAGAGGTCCTAGATGAAAGCCTGAATAAAAACCATTTCCAGCCGTATATCATGGCAGACATCTACAGTTTTGGGCTGATCATTTGGGAAATGGCTCGGCGCTGTGTCACAGGAGGTAAATCTTTAAATATTCTGTATAAAATCCACAAGGCCCTTGTCTCACTTTAACAATGCTTTTCCAGGAAATAATACAAGCCTGTTATATCAACAGACTCGCGTTCTTTAGAAGCAGTAGTAACAGTCTGTCCAGAGTACACCTTGAAAATCACTGAACTAAACCATTCTGATTGTTGCAATCAAGCGTTTCGGGCTTTTTTTCCTTGCTCAAAAAGCAGAGTGCCTGGTCTGGGAGAAGTAGTGGGATGCAGATGTATTTCACCCCAATGCTGTTAATAAAATTTCTAAAATGTAACTGATATTATTCTTTTGTTACACTTCTGTGCATTGCTGGTGTCATTCAGTTTTCTCCTTACACATTTCTGTGGCTCATGCTTTGTTTTCTTTCACTCTTCTTTTGTGACTTTATAGATCTCTGCTTGTGTTCTCCTCTTCCATCTTATGCTTTCTCCCTGTTTCTTTGTAGCATGTGGTGGATTAGAAGATGTCAAATTCTACGTTGGGTATCAAAGTCAAAGGGATTGCAAGGAATTATTGTAGCTATTAAACTTAGTATTGATAATAGTTGAGCTTTTCTGGTAAATGTCTGATTGTTATAGTGAAATTTTTGGATTCTTATCACAGTGTAACAGTGAAGTGAGTTTGCCTTGGCACAAAGTTAACTTTTGTTCCTGGCTAAGGAAATATCAGAGTAGATACATGGATTTATTTTATTGTTTTTAATGGTTCTTGATCTTTTACAATTATCTTCAGGTATTGTTGAAGAATATCAGTTGCCATATTATGACATGGTGCCAAATGATCCATCCTATGAGGACATGAGAGAAGTCGTGTGTGTCAAACGCCTACGCCCAGTAGTATCAAATAGATGGAATAGTGATGAAGTGAGTATGCTGAAAGGAAAAATTAGTTCAGTTTGTCCATTAATGTGGAAGGGTACTTTAGTTTAATAAGTACTAAACCATTGTAAACTATGGACTGCACTCAGGCATTCTGATATTTTGAAAACCTCACAGCAACAATAGGCGAAAGATACATATGAAATCAACACAAAATACCATATTTTTTATGTATCTTTTCCATGGTCTAAGGGGAAGATACCCTTAAGCAGAATCCAAATGTATGAATACTGCTCTGAGACCTTTTTAGATAGTGAAATATTTTTCAGCGTTTTGATTGGATCTAAAATGAGTTTTTAATTGGTTTTGTTAGTCTTAATCTATATAGCATATTGGTTCATCTCATAAGGTATTTCATGGAATATGAAGTGACTTCTTTTTGTTTGTAGATTTCCTCTCTTCTTTTTTTCTCTTTTACTGGTACATTTCAGGGCAAGCCCTAATGTAATAAAACACTAAATTGAAATGTGTTTTTAAAGGGCTACAGCTTGAACACAAAAATAAGATGTAACTATTTAATGTAGCAAGCTAGATATGGCATATTCTTCCTTCCCAAAATCCTTGATTTCTTTTAGGACTTCCCAGTTTTTTCCATATAATTTTTTGACTGCTAAAAGAACTTTTGTCACACCTTCGTTTTCAGTGAGAAAGTTCTCTGCAGTTTTTCTGCCATATATAATGCACGTTCTTCTGCTTATTGCTACCATTTTTTGTACTGCTGGTCTTGAGTTGTAATGATAAGTTCTGGTAATGCACCTTTGTGAAACTAAAGAAACAGTTCAGTTATTTCCAGCTACTATAATGCTAGGCAGTGAAGGGAAGGAAAAAGAAAGATTGGGACATGGTTGTTGGTTAGGGCTTTTTGAGCTGATCTGTTCATAGTAGTTCTCTATCTGCAATTTTTCACGTTTGGACTTAAGAGTTCTCTAATTTGGGCTTGACAGGAAACCAAAATTGTATACTTCTCAGGTCTGTCAGTTGTTACAATACTGTTCCTTTTTTTTTTGTTTTGCAGTGTTTAAGAGCAATATTGAAACTAATGTCTGAATGCTGGGCTCATAATCCTGCCTCAAGACTCACTGCCTTGAGGATCAAGAAGACACTTGCCAAGATGGTGGAATCACAAGATGTAAAGATTTGACATAGTAAATTGACATTGGACAGCAAAGCTGAACTTGTAGATCTTTTCACTCAAACATGGGTGAGACCTATGTGGAAAGAGGAAATAACTGAGATTCAGTATATTTTCTCAGCACACTTCTACAGGCTGCTAATCCAATCTTTCAGTACTTCATAGACTGTGATACTGAGAGCCTCTATACACTACATCCTACGTATATGGACAGCCTTGATAAAATACACATTTTGATTTTGTTTGAGCTGCATTGAGACTTCAGTCATACTTAGTGAGTCTCCAGTAAAACTCTGGGTACTGAATTGAATGTTCAGATTACGGTGCTTTCTGTGAAAGCCTAACAAGCTATAAGGATTCAACAGAGATGGAGAATATAAGCTTTTTTTTGCCTTCTACCTGATGAAACCTAGTCAATCCATACCAAGTTTTTGTGAAACAGCCTATAGGTTACAAACCTGTTTGTGATACTATTCAGTTTTAACACTTCCTTATGCTTTTATATGTGTGCCAGGATTATTCTGCTGTCATTTGGAATAGATAAGAAACCATTTAAATGAACAAAGTTTTATGGTCTGGGCTCCGTGCATTTTGTGGCTCCAAAATCAGAGATTTGCTACAGAGTTTACTCCTTGACATTAAGTTATCTTCCAGAATCTGTTTTAATTTTATTTCTATTCTTGTTTTGGTCACAAGGAGAACTACAAAAATGTGAACCATTAATAATTTAAGGAATGCCTACCTGAGCCTGTAGAGAGCTTGAAGCAATCCCTCTTAGAGATACAGACTGCCTTGGTCAACTCACTCACAGTCTAGTGGGCTCCATGTTTGGATGGCCATGAAATTGGCTTTTTTTTTTTTTTTCCACAAGGCCACATACAACAAGCATTTTTGCTGTAGAATGCTTTACATAATAACAGAAAGACCGGTGATTGTGTGTTTTGCCTTTCTACTCTATTGGGACTTGCTGGTAGGTGTCTGTCATGCTCTGAACTTTTTTCCATACAGGAGGGAATCGGTCAGCTGTAGGAGCATGCTTTTTCATCATGTGACAAAACTAGGCAAAAGATAAGTTTTGAAAGGCTTGAGAACAAGTCTAATTTACAGACACAAATAAGGGAAGGCAGGAAGTGCAGTCTGGGCACTCAAAAGGTGAGAAAATACAGTAAAGGTCAAGACCAGGAGAACTGAATATGTGAACTTCTGAAGATAAGATCCACGATGTGCAGAAGATTTTGAGCTGGGTTGCCCTCATGTAAGTGTGGGAGGCCACAGCTGTGGGCCACTTAGTGGACAGGTACAAAATTCAAGATTTGAAACAAGGTAAATCAGTGGGTGTTTTGAGTTCTATTTAGACACATTTGGGAGGAATGGCATTGAAAGATAATTCATGAAGATAAAGTAAGTTAACATAACTGCAAAATTTGGTCCTCTTGTGCCAAATACTTGGCACGCACAGGAAACTGTAGTTCCCTTCTTTTCTTCACTGATACAGACAAGTTGGTTAACAACCAGAACCCCTCCATGAGGTTACTGTAAGGCAGAATTACTGATTTTATAACTCCTTTGGCACTTCTACTTTGAAGATAGAAAATAGTACCATAACTCAAGTTGAAGCTTCAAATACGTGAATCATCAGAAGAATAAACACACAGTATTGCAACCATTGAACCTATTTGATAATTTAAGTGCCTATAACTTTGTACTGTAAATGTTATTCTAGATAACTTTAAAAAGGGAAGTTATTTATACTGTGTGTTTTGTGCTTTATTAAAAAAAAAACACCTAGTCCTAGGTACATGTGTACAATTAGATAAATGCACACACACGCATGCCATAGTTGAGATTTGAAGGAAGAAAGTTAGGAATAATATTAAAATTGATGAAGAAATGTTAAAACTTCGGATTGATTTATGCCAGATTATTTGTCGTCTTAAAATATGTATGTGAAGATTGTTTTGGTATGTGTTTAAATTCCCCTTGAAAATACAGCTGATAGAAAACAGTGTAATGCAGAACTAATGTGATTTGTGAACAATTACAACCTTCTAGCTTGTTTTGGTTTTTTTTTTGTTATAATTCTGTAGTTCACATAATGTAAATGGTCAGGCAAAAGATTGCAGTATTTTTATTTTCTATTGTGATGTACAGACTTTATTTAACAGTTCTACATATTTTATAGAAAACTAGCTATTTTGAGGGACATTTTTTTTAAAAAAGTCATTACTTTTGTTCAGTAATGCCTTTTAAGTATTAATATGTATTCTGGCTGAGAAGTTCATAAGTGTGTCAGCTATGATTTTAACTTATTTGAAAACAGCAAGACATATATGATATTGTGCCACAATTCTCATGAAAAAGGGCTTTTTAAAAGGACATTTCTCTGTCCATTGCCAAGAGATATACGGTGAGTTTGAAATTGTTAATTATGTCTCGGTGCATAATTTTTGCACGGGTAGTTGGAAAATATTTGGTATGAGCCAGAAAAAGTAGGGGATAAGCTTTCCCCCCACCCCCTTTTACTAGGATTTTTATTAATAAGAAGGAAAATGTTTATGTAGGTACCTTGCTAGCTTCAACTTTCAGAGCATGGAGGTCTATTTAAATTAACCCATTCCTTTTTAGAATGTCTTTTTAAAATGTCTTTTAGAAGTTGCTACAGCATTTTCAGCTGTTGTAAACTTGTTTTGTGAATCTTTTTGCTTCGTTTTTCCCAAGTCTTCAGGAAGCCATTGCTGGAAGTGTGAATTTTGATAGTTTTTAATTATTCTCTTATTTTCTCCTCCATTGTTTAGGCATTTGTAAGGCAATAGGATGGTGATCTTTGGTAGACAACTTAAGACGGGAACTGATTTACAGGTTCACTTCAACATGGAGAAATGAGCTGACTGCTGCAGAGATGATTGTTGATAGAAAAAAAAAAAAATCTTTTCGCCTTAAGCTTAACCTTAATTTTTCAGCACTTGAGTTACTCGGTGCATACTCAAACATACTGTGCATATGCAGTTGTCATTGTCCTGAACAGGAGCTTCTGGGTCTTTAGCATTCCTTGATTCCCTGATACACCAAAAAATGTTATCGCTAAAGGACCTGGTTGCATAAAGCACTTGAGCACATACCTACATTCCATGCCAAGTCATTCACTGTTTGGAGACAAAGTATGTCTATACTGATATTTTAGCAATTATTTGGGAAAAAAAACAACCTTCACTCAAAGGTAGCCCTTTAATTTTTACGTAATTAGTGGAGACTCAAAAGCTAAGTTGTTTTATGCAAAACTGTAGACTTCAGAAGCCTTTCAGGTCAGGGAGGGTAATAGGAATCTTCTGTTTGAGTGTGATTAATCTCATTTTGTTGATCAAAATTTTAACCGTTTTTCATCCAAAAAAAAAAAAATCCCCCAAAACTAGCAAATGTGTTTTCATTTTTTTTTTTTTAATATAAAAATCAGACGTATGGGAATTATCTTTGGGAGTAACAAGACTGTGCCTTGGAAGTTCTTGAGATCTTTTCCAACCTTAATGATTCTATGGTACTTAAACACTTGCATCTGGAGGGATTTTTTTTATTTATTCAGCCTGCACCATGTGATTTTGGCTAGGTAGAAAATAATTGGAGTCACTTACATAATTCTTACTGTTACAGCAACTGAAAGTTTCTGTGTTCCTGTTTAACTTGTAAATTCCACAAGAAATAACAATATCCCAACAGCAAAATGTAGGCTTACAGTTTGAGTTTATTCCAAGTTTTACTCAGTATGTAATTTTTCCTGAGTTAACAGTTTTTCCATTTTCCATCACTTTTCTGTGATTATTTTCTTAATTAGTCTATTGTGATGTATTGAATAAAGTGTAAAATTAATATTTTAAGTCCATAGTAGTCTCGAAACAAATTTTCAATCTTGATCTAAATGTCCATTTGAATGTGCTTATAAAACAAATCATTTGGATGCGTTTCTTATGCTCTGTCTTCACAGGCTGTATTTTAATGGTCTAAAATGTTTGGAAAGCAAAGATACTAAGTTTAAAAGCATTGTTTGGCTGTTGCAGATCTTTTTAAAGGGAGGTACATGCTCGTTTTCTGTCAAATATTAGAATGATTTAGCACTTCCTCATGCATCTGACAGTGCCTCTGAAGTCAAAAGTCTTTATCCTGTGCCCACAATCTCTCTTACGAACAGGGGGGATGTCTAAAAATGGCTGGAAATGTTGCACGATACAGTGCTTTATGGAGACATGGTGTTTTGGCCTTGGTTGGTATAGCAGACATGGAGTGCACATTATTTCTAATTTTTTAACAAATCTCATTTAATTGTTGCTTTGTAATATTTTACCTTTGAATGCAATTATAGAAGCCCACATCATGTAGTGACATTTGTGCTCTGACATGCCATGCCCAAAATGAAATGTACTATATTGTATACAAGAGGAATAAATAACACTGTAGTTAACCTAGAGAAGATGTAAATAAAATATGAAAGAAGAGTGGAATGGGATAAATGGTCACACTCTTGTGTGTGTTATATGACAGAAGTGTAGAATACTCCTTTAAAAATGTAACACACTGATGTATTTTGTACAGCATCTGCTTTAGAAGGTGCCTTATTGAGTTTACCATGAATTGCTTCTTCTGTACACAGATTATGTCCACTGTATCGTTTTTAAGTAAATAACCTTATTTTAGTACACATTAGTTATGTGTTTTATTACTATAAGATTTTGCCTTTAAAGTGTAATGACTTGGAAATCATAACACTGTAACCAAATAATTCCCTACTTTTTAATATCTCATTTGGTTTTTTTCCCCACAGTCTTTGAGTAAGTTGTTAATGGTCACTTCTGTTGTTCAGTGGTGTTCAGAATTATTTGGTGCTCTACAAGTCCAGGCTCTGTATTCCTTGGACTAAATGTGGGCACAACAGTAAAACCAGTGTTTCCTTCTCCTGATTTTTATTCCTGTCTTAAAGCAAAGCCAGAAGCAAGTCAGAATTGAATAATTCTTTTATTTGA